AATAATACAAATTAATTTATTGCATTAATTACTAATTTATTTATATAATCAAAATTACTTTTTTATTATATATTAACAAGTTTACAAATACAATTGAAATCTATTACTAGTCATTGCTATTCATCATCTTTTTACTGCACATTTACATGTTGTTAATGGTTTGGAACATTGTTCCAGTTGGTTTGATTCCAACAAACAAAAAACAAAATAGAAAATCAGAGATATTTGTTACAAATTTCGAAGTTATTACTTTCGAAATGTTTGACATGAAATTCCAGGATCTAAAAAATAAAGAAAATGAACTTTAGTAAAACGTTCGTTAAAGAAAAATAAAAAAAATAACTTCAAAGTATTATTACCTTCGAAGTTCTTCCAAATGGAAGTCCGGAACCTAAAAATAGAAGAAAAATGAACGTTAGTAAATGTTCGTTAAAGAAAATTAAAAAAAAAGAACTTTGAAGTGTCATTACCTTCAAAGTTCTTTCAAATGAGAGATTGGACCTAAAAAATAAAAGAAAATGAATGTTAGTAAAATGTTCGTTAAAGAAAATTAAAAAAAAGAAACTTTGAAGTGTTATACCTTCGAAGTTCTTTCAAATGGAGCCTGAACCTAAAAAATAAAGGAAAAATGAACGTTAGTAGAATGTTCGTTAAAGAAAAATAAAATAAAAAATAAAAAAGAATTTTAAAGGTTTACCTTCAAAATTCTTTCGTCCAGGAGCCGGAGAACCAAAACCCTGCAAAAAAAACAACTGAAACGTTAGTAAACGTTTCGTAAATTAAAGTAACAAAAAAATAAGAATTTCGAAGTTTACCTTCAAAATTCTTTCGTCCAGGAGCTAGAGAACAAAAATCCTACAAAAAAAAACCAACTGAAACGTTAGTAAGTGTTTCACAAATTAAAAACAACAAAAAAAAAATGAAGAATTTTGAAGTTTTACCTTCAAAATTCTTTTCGGGAATGATGATGACCTACAAAAAAAAAATGAAACGTTAGAAAATGTTTCGCTAAATAAAAAAAAAATATAAAAGAATTTGAAGGAATTTTACCTTCAAAATTCCATCCAGAAGCCGTAAACCTGCAAAAAGTAAAAATTGAAACGTTAATCTACGTTTCGTTCAAATAAAAAATAAAAATAAAATAATTTTGAATTTCACCTTCGAAATTCCGTCCAATCCAGGTGGCTACCAGAAAAAGAAAAAGAAATCGAAACGTTAGTAACGTTTTGTTTAAATAAAATAAAATAAAAAATGTGTTTCGTAACGAAAAGTTCATTACGAAACTAACCATGTTGAAAATTCCGTTCAGGCTGGAACCAGAGAGCCGAAAATCTAAAAAAAAAGAATAAAGAACGTTAACGTTCTTTTACAAAAATAAAATAAAATAAAGAAATAAAAGAATTTCAAAAAAATACCTTTGAAATTCAGTCCAGGAGAGTTCGGGAGAGCCGGAAACCTAAAAAAAATCGAAACGTTAATAACGTTTCGTTAAAATAAACAAAAAAAGAATAAAAAATAAAAAATAAAATTGAAGTTTACCTTCGAAATTAAAGTCCTTCGGCATCCTGGACCTATAAAGAAGAGAAAAATGAACGTTAGTGAACGTTCGTTAAAAAAAAAGACACCCTTTTTTTTTGAAAGTTATTTACCTTCGAAATCAAGTACGAGACACGTACCTTCGGCGTCTTGGACCTACAAAAATGAAAACGAACGTTAGTTAACGTTTGTAAAAAAAAAACTAATAAAAAAAATATATTTTTGAAGGATATAAAGGATATAACCTTCGAAATGAAGCTCCAGAAAGCCATGGGCCTACAAAAAAGAAAGCTGAAACGTTAGTAAACGTTTCGCTAAAATAAAAGAAAAAAAGTAAAATGAAATTTCGAAGCCTTACCTTTGAAACAGGAGACCGGAACCTGCCTTTCAGTTTCTTGTACAATTGTACCTATGAAAAGTAAAAAAATGAACGTTAGAATTAGTAACGTTCATTAAATAAAATAATAAAAAAAAAATCGAAGATTTTACCTTTGATATGGAAGTTCTTTCGACTTCCTTTACCTAAAAAAAAAGAATAACGAACGTTAGTGAACGTTCGTTTAAATAAAAAGAAAAAAAAATTCGAAGGTTAAATTTACCTTCGATATAGGAGCCCAGAACTCGTTTTCGGATTCCTTTACCTAAAAAAAAAAGGAAATACGAACGGTGTTAACGTTCGTCAATAAAGTTAAAAAATATATATATATATATTTTTTTTGAAGGTTTTACCTTCGATATGGAAGTCCGGTTTGTCTTTCGGCTTCCTTTAACTAAAAAAAAAGACGAAACGTTAGTTAACGTTCGTCAATATAAATTAATTTTAAAAAAAATTAATTTTTTTTTTCAAAGGTTTGTTTCACCTTCAATATAGGAGCCCGGAACTCAGTTTCGGCTTCCTTTATCTAAAAAAAATAAGACGAAACGTTAGTTAACGTTCGTCAATAAAGTTAATAAAACAAAATATTTTTTTTTTCAAAGGTTTTACTTTCAAAGTAAAGTCTGGAGCTATTTTTTGGCGTCAGGACATATAAAATACAAAAACGAACGTAACTAACGTTCGTTAAAGTTAAAATATAAAAAAAAAATATTTCGAAGATTTTTACCTTCAAAATAAGAGTCCGGAGCTGATCTTCAGCATCCAGGACCTAAAAATATGAAAACGAACGTTAGTGACGTTCGTTAAATAAAATTAAAGATTTGGAAGTTAATATACCTCCGAATTTCAAAATCATCGATAGGTTTTATCCGGAACCTATATAATATAAAAAAAAATTATTTTTTTTTTAAAAAAATAAATTAAGATTTGGAGGTAAGCATACCTCCGAATTCCAATATCTTTGATAGGTTCCATCCGGAACCTATATAATATAATAAAAAAAAATTTTTTTTTTAAAAAAATAAATTAAGATTCGGAAGTTAATATACCTCCGAATTCCAATATCTTTGATAGGTTCTATCTGGAACCTATATAATATTAAAAAAATTAATTAAGATTTGGAAGTAAGCATACCTCCGAATTCCAATATCTTTGATAGGTTCTATCCGGAACCTATATAATATATAAAAAAAATTATTTTTTTTAAAAAAAATAAATTAAATTTCAGAGGTAAGCATACCTCCGAATTCCAACTAAAATCATCGATAGGTTCCATCCAGAACCTATATAATAT